ATGGCGGTGACGACAGACTGGAGGACCTGGTCCTCCTTCGCCTTCTTGGCGCTGTCCTTCACGTGGCGGACGTTGGCGAGTTGGCCGCACAAGGCCAGCCCGCCATAAAACTCACCGCCGAGTTCAGCAATGCCGGTTTGGCAGAACTTGAAGGCAGACTCGCCCTCCACCAGCACCAATACGCAGTTTTCGCGGTCAGTTGAGGTGGCGTGAATGCAGGTCATGTTTTTGAAACAGTTGTGAAATGGTTTGCGAAATGAAATGAACTGTGAATAAACTTAAAACTGCTTTTATACCCAGTTTATTGCATTGTAATTAGAAGATTTCAACAAAGATTTGTTAATTACTTTGAACTTTATTTGTGCACAAAGGAAAAATACATAAAGAGAAGAAAACAGAAGGCATCACCTCATCGTAGCCATCTGTCTGAACCTCTCTCTCTCTCTTTCTTTTGCTCGGTGCCATTCAAAATTCTTGACATNAAAGAGAAGAAAACAGAAGGCATCACCTCATCGTAGCCATCTGTCTGAACCTTTCTCTCTCTCTCTCTTTCTTTTGCTCGGTGCCATTCAAAATTCTTGACACGCTTTTATTTGCGCTGAAGGCGCACTAGTACCAGCTCCAGCAGCAGCAGCAGCCCCAAAACCAGGCCTTTCTTTCTTTTTCTTGCTCTCTGCTCTGCTCTTCACTCACTCACTCACTCACTCACTGTCCAAATCCGAAAGCGTCACTCTCTGCGGGAGGTAAGCAGCAGCAGCCGGTGAAGAAGAAACGGTCCACCTCTGGAGACGTCGGCAAGAGGAGGACTTCCAGCGTGGATGTGATGGGCGGCGGCAGTGGGAAGAACAACAATGGCGGCAGCAAGACAGAGAAGAGCGAGAAGATGTGAGCAATTTGAAGACTTTATCTTGCATCTGTTTTCCACCTACTAGCTCTGTCTCTTAATCTTTCACCCCTTTTCTGCAACTCTGCTGATGAGGAAAAGTAGTAGTGCAAAAGTAGTCCTTTTCAAATACCTGCGAAGAGCGAGCCTAATATAATTACAAAAGTAGATTAAACTTTGAATTTCTACTTTATTGACATGTGCACTGCAAAGTTTTGAAGATCTAAAGACTTGAAAACTGAAAAAACTGGCGCTTTTAAAAAAGAAAAAAAGTTTAATCGTGTAAATAGTGTACAGATTAGAAAAGGAGTTGAGTGGTGAAGAAGGGAAGATAATATCAGACGGCCATGGTGGTGAGGAAGATAAAGTGACAGGTGTGGGAAAAGATTAGTGGCTCACGTCTGTTGTTGAAGGGTGATTTGGTGGTGGGTGGATGGGATGAGCTGGGAAAGGGGCGTGTCCGTGGTTAGAGGTTACTTCTCAGTCTCGGCCTCACCAGCTCCTCCTCCTTCTTCGGGAGAATCTTTAAAGGAGGTGCTCCTTGATGACCAGCCAAGTTTCTGGATCTGGCGGCTTTAGACCATCCTCGATATAATCCCGATGGTGAATGGCGATAATGTGCCTGATTGCCTGTTGTCTTGTGGCACATTCCATTTCGCACAGCGGAAAGTTGCAAAAGTATGGCTTCACTCCGGTGTGTTTTCGAAGGTGAACCTTGAGATTGCGACTGGTGATGAGCTTACCGCATCCGGGCTCAGGACAAACGACATTCTTTTCAGCTCTCTGTTTTGGCTGCTGCTGCTTTGGATTATTGGCAATGTTTTCGTGGGCAGTGTCCTTAACCAGCTGTTCAATGTCACCGCCACCAGCACCGTCATCGAGGTCCACGTCACTATAGTCATCCTCCTCGTCACCATCGAGTGGACCATCAATTTGCAACTCCACAGTGATCGCTTTCTTTTTGTTTGACTTACTGCTGGTGCCAGTGCCAGTGCCATCACTCTCTGCCATTCGCTTATGAAGACCAGAAAACGGTTGGGAAGCAGCAGCTGAAGAAGAGGGACCAGGCTTGGACTTGGTTGCAAAGACCATCTTGCTTTTCAATGGCTGGGAAAGTGGCACACTGGTCGTTGGTTTTGGTGGAGTTGGAGTGCTGGCGGCATTTGCTTTTACCGGATCATTGCCAGCACTTTCTTTGAGCGGCGGCATCATCATCTCCTTGACCTGTCCTACCATCTCCTCGAAGAGTCCATCCACAATAACTCTCACCGAGTCCATCAGTCGCTCTTTGACCAGTGCCTTCTTTCCCTCAAAAAACGAGTCCACAAATGAGTGCATCACTGAGGAGTTGCTAAACGACAAATGGCTGCCAGGTGAAAACATGGTGAAAGAGTAGAGAAAGAATGAGTGATACACAATAAATGCTGAAACAAGTGAAATCAAAATGTGTATTTGGCGCAGTGACAATAACAGTAAAAATGAAAAATGTATAATGTTGAGCTGTTAAATCTGGTTAAAGTTCTAAATTAAAATGCAATGACTGTGCTTAATTGGCCACGTTGGCACAATGGCTGACCAATTTTAGAGCAGCTCCTTTTTCACGGTGAGGTAGGTCGATGGATCGGGTGGATCGTCTGCTACCTCATTTCCACCCTCTTCAGCATTGTTAGGTTTCTGCTTCTTGAGATGCACATTGAGAATGTGGCGGATAGCGGTACCACGCTGATTGAACTCCCGCGAACAACCAGAATAGTTGCAGCCAAACGGTTTGGCATTGGTGTGGGTTCGAAGGTGACACTTGAGATCGGCTTTGCATAAGAAGTGCTTGCCACAGTTCGGTTCAGGGCAGGCGAACTTCCTTTCAGCTGTCTGTTTTGGCTGCTGCTTTGAAGAGCAGGCAATGTTTTTGTGAGCGGTATCCTTAGACTGCTGTTCAATGTCACCGCCACCAGAACTAACACCGAAAGTGCTTGAATCCATTCCACACTCCATCAGAGCCTGCTCTATCGGAATGACCACCAGCACCTCATCAGAAGTGCTGAAGGCCACGTCACCCTCAGTGACCCCTTTCTTCTTCTTTGCCGGACTGCTGCTAATGCTGGTGCTAACGCCATCCTCTTCAGCCATTCGTTTATAGAGGCCAGAAAACGGCTGGACAGCAGCAGAAGTAGAGGGACCAGGCTTGGACTGGGTTGCAAAGATCATCTTGCTTTTCGGTGGCATTGAAATGTTTTTTGGTGACTTGCTGGTCGGTTGTTTTGCTGGAGTATAAGTGGTTTTCCCAATACCAATAGGTTTCTCCTGATCATGGGCAGTTTTTGGAGGAAGTAGCATCTCTTTGACCTGTCCTACCATTTCTTCGAAGAGTCCATCCACAATAACTCTCACCGAGTCCATCAGTCGCTCTTTGACCAGCGCCTTCTTTCCCTCAAAAAACGAGTCCACAAATGAGTGCATCACTGAGGAGTTGCTAAACGACAAATTGCTGTTAAGGGATAACATAGTGAAAGAGTGGAGAAAGAATGAGTGCGAATGCAAAAAATGCTAAAACAAGTGAAATCAAAATGTGTATTTGGTGCAGCGACAATAACAGTAAAAATGAAAAATGTTTAGTAATGTTGAGCTGTAAAATCTGGTAAAAGTTCTAAATTAAAATGACTGTGTTTAATTGGCCACGTTGACTCAATGACTGACCAATTTTAGAACAGTTAATCGATAAGTAAACGCTGCTGCACAAATGAATGCTGTGTTTTCTGTGTGTTGAGTGTTGTGCTCGCCAAGTTGTACGTTTCCGCCGGGCAGTTTTAAAGTGTAATCATTCTTGTACACCACTGCCGCTAAGAGTGTAATGTGTGCGCGGCGGAGAATGGCCGTCGAGTTGTTGTCGCCGTCGTCGTCATCATCATCTTAATAGCCGTTTTCCGATGATGCTGCAAATGGCAAAAAAAGAGAAGAAGAAAAGTGTAACGAAAAAAAAAGTAAAAAACACGGCAATCAGCCTTGAGATAGATCAATCAGGCAATTAGGTGCAGGAAAAAAACTGGTGATGGAAGAAGAGATGGAATGGTGGTGGAGCCGGTGGCGGCGACGACGACATATTG